TAGAAGCATTTTTAAGCAACGACCAGTGGTATAGAAGTGTAATTTAAGGAAAAAATAGTGGAAGTGAGGCCCTAGGTGGGGGTGGGGGGTGGAAGGGTTGAACATTCAGTCTTATTCCTAAAATTTTATGAATACAATCTTAGATATTGTCAAAAATAAGCACTAGCCTCTCCGATGTCTATGAATGAACGCGTGTGTGAGAGCGTGTTGAAGCCTCTATTCCAAAATTAAGAAGACCAAGACCCTCAAGCTTGACACTTTCCACACCTGGCGAGAGAGGAGTCTATCCCTCTGGAACTTAATGTCACATACATAGATTTATACCATCGCTTGTGCACTGGCATTAGTAAAAGTATTATGGTTTTCTTGTGTGTATGTCTGTGTAAAATGTGTGTGTTGTGTGTGTGTGTGTGTGTGTGTGTGTGTGTGTGTGTGTGTGTGTGTGTGTGTGTGTGTGTGTGTGTGTGTGTGTGTGTGTGTATGTGTTTGTGTGTATATGTTTGTGTGTAGATGTATGTAAAAGTGTGTTTGCATATATTCAATTCATTTAATATATCGAAACCAAATGCATTATCCGGAAACCGAAATGGATACAGTATCCAATTACACATTTTATATATAAACACAATCCCTCGTTAAAGGAAATCTATAAATCTGGGGAAAAATCTGGATAGCATAACCTATTGTTGAAGTTGTTTGGATTGTTCGAAAAGAAAAGAAAAAAAAATCGTATTCTCCTTTTGCTGAATATTCGAGGTGAATGTTACATTACTGTTATCATTACCAGGACCAAGCACAGGCGGTATTTGACAGTCTGAGTATGAATGAATATAAGCCGTGTATGTTGTACAATAAAAAAAAAAACATAAGTACAATAGGTATGGGTAAATGAATATATAAATATGTTGTACAATAGAGGAGACATAGGTACAATAGGTATGAGCAATATATATGTGAATCACAGACATGGTTTACAGGCATGTTATATACATATAATATATTATATATATATATATATATATTATATATATAATATATATATATATATATATATATATATATATATATATTATATATATTATATATATATGGCACTTCGCACATCCACAGACGCATGTACTGCCTTGTGTTCTTACAGACGAACAGAAGGAGGCTACAAAATGGTACTGTATTTTATGGCTTATTCAGTTCGTTACATCTCTGCAGCAATCTGAATGTCTTAAGATGGTGCCACTGATTATCCTGAGATAATTTCAATTTGATGTTATTAAATGTATCTAAGAGTACTTATGATTGTTTATCTACGCAATGTCCCGGATATTACTGTATATCAGAACGAACCATTTCCAGATAAACTACAATTGGAATTGTTCCAGACGTGATAAGGAAATTGTAGTTGAAATAAAATGTAATAATACCCATGTAATGATCATGTGTACATTTTGATGACATATATGAAGCTTAGGTCGAGCTTGAACTGGCATTCGAAATTTGTTTTGTTTGTTGTTATTTGTACTGTTCGAAATAATCTCTTGAATATGCAAAAGGTCGTTTGGCTTAGGGAGCATAAAAAAAAAATGAAAAATGTATATGCATGTAAAATTTTGTAATCATCTTTTAAAGTTATATGATTCGAAATTTTCAAATTTTCAGACCTATCTAGTAATGTGTATACACCGTGACACACAGAGAGCATGTGCAGTATTTATGTCTATATCCATCTCTCTCTCTCTCTCTCTCTCTCTTCTCTCTCTCTCTCTCTCTCTCTCTCTCTCTCTCTCTCTTCTCTCTCTATCTATATATATATATATATATATATATATATATATATATATATATATATATATATATATATATATATATATATATATATATATAATATATATTATATATATATATATATAGTATATATATTATATATATATATATATATATATATATAATATATATAATATATATATATATATATATATATATATATATATATTATATATATATATATATATATATATATATATATATATATATATATATATATATATATATATATATATATATATATATATATATATATATATATATATATATTATATATATATATACATAATATATATATATATATATATATATATATATATATATATATATATATATATATATATATATATATATATATATATATATATATATATATATATATATTATATTACATATATTGTTTATATGTGTGTAATATATTATATACTTATACGTACATATATATATATATATATATATATATATATATATATATATATATATATATATATATAAACCTTCGACTCATAGCAACACAACAAATAACGTAAACCAAAAAAACGCACATCAACTTTCTTCCGTAAATTGCATCATATTCTGCCCGCAAATGTTGCATTTAGCGAGCTGTCAGTCACGTTGATGAGGCAGATCGTGTAAGTTCAGGTCAACAAACACGTCGAGAACATGTTTTTTTGTCAGCGAG